AGCAAAGCGATTAAGTTAAATACCCTCATTTGTAGTCTGTGTGCCGTATAAGATTGAAGTAGGAAAATTAAGTAACTGAAATAACTTTTGAGCATTCTTGTTTTATGCACAGCAAAATTTTATTAAAGTGTCATAAACAAAATTAAAGAAAAAGGCAAATATTTCGCGTCAGACACACACAATATTCTCGTATAAAGAGATAGTAAGTAGTACATTTTATAAGTACATCCTTAAGAGGAGAATAGGAATCCTGCTTCACTGCACTAGCACTGAAGCATGCGGCGGCACTAATTCGGCAACATTTTGCGACCACAAAATTCGCAGGCAACTTGAGTGCTATCATGAAGCACAACAGCGTAAGGATGCAGAGTTGGCTTTCCTCGGTGGCAAGTCAATGACAAATCGCTTCCAGGTGTTTACGAACTTTCACTTTGGAGCAGACCATCAAATGATTTACACTTTTTTAGTGTAGCATAAATCGCTAGTTCCTTTTTTTATTTTATTCTGTTTTATTTATTTGTGCCTTGACTTTCATTACAAACGACATAAAAATAGTGACGTTAAATATTCACAAAATGTCGTAAAATGGTTAAGGAAATCATAAAAAAACAGTAAAAACAGTAAAAACGTAAATAATTTATACTTAAAATGTTTGTAAACGTTAATTTAGTATAGTTACTTTATTGCTGAGACAGTAACCTTTTTAGTTAACATAAGTAGCAGCCAAATTCATGATTTAATACTACATAAGTCCTTCTGGACTCCTCCTATTTTTTTACTAAAATGGCTACTATTTTGTACCTCATTTTGCTGTTTGATTTATTTATTTGCTAATTTATCATTTTTTATATGAGCGCAAAATTGTTTATTGACCATCAAAATAATCCTGATTTTATATTTTTGATACCTTCAGGGCGTGATGGAATTTTCATTTGATTTTTGAGTCCTTTTATATATTGTTTTTTTGCTTCTTATTACTTGTTTCGTGTGCTAGAATAAAGTTTTAAAGCATTTATTTGGCAGAGTTTTGAGTTATGATACCATTCACTTTTTTAAAGGACTAAGTGGGATTTTGTCATCATGAGTTTTTGCCAAAAATGTCATTTTGATATGCTCTAGTCAGCAATTTTTTTCATTTATTCATAAAAACACAATAAATCCATTTTAAGTTTATTGCTTTGGCCGTGATGTTTTTATTGCTTGCGGCAGCCTGGTATTAAAGTCCATCAGGTGCGTCCCTTGTTTAGACTGATAATAAGTGTGTTCATTCTTTAATAAAATATTTTGATAAAAATGAAACAGTGAACTTGAGACTATCATTTCTATTGCTATATATCCTTTGTGTTGCTGTGTTTGTTCGTTTTTGGCTATACATTGTATTTTCTTGAGGACATGTTAAACATGATTCATAAATATTATTGTAATATTTTTATGACCCATAAAATTATTTTTGAATTTTATTATTCAATAAAAGGAGTTCAAAGACCAATTTTGTTCAAAAAACCGAAAAAAATAATTGTTGGTAAAGAATATTTTTAATTTTATGTAAAAGCTCAAGTTTAAATATTATTTAATTTAGACGTCTAAAAATTTCAATGAGTTTTATAATATATTCTTAACATTCGTAAATGAAATTTTTAAACATCTGTAAATATATAAAAACACCGTAAATAACCTAGAACTGATAACCTACTCCGAATATCTTAAAACAGATCCAGTCTTTCTCAAGAGAAAAGAAGCACATCAGTATCAAAATATATTAAATTTGTTAACAAAATTATTAAAAAAATATGTGGAACTGATAACATAACGTCGAATATCTCAAAGCATATCCAAAAGCTGTTGTCAACATCCTGCTTCTGATTTTCTAGGAGGTATGGGTGGAAGGGAGAAGAACGAAGAGCAGTGGAATGAATGTATTTTCGTGAAGGTTTCCAAACACATCGTACAAGGACACCATAAACTATAACAATTGCAATGTTTTACTACCCATTCCAAACAGAGTCTTCGCTATGATTATGTTATCTAAAATCTCGGCGGCTAAAGAGAAACCATGCGCGGAAATGAGTTAGACTTCAGATCGTGTATGAACTTAATTCATGTAGGTTGATTAATAAAAGGTGAGTAATGTTGTGAAGACAATACATCTGTCTATTTATTTTTCATCAATTTTAAACAAACATTTCAAAGTCTAGACAGAAATTGGCTATAAAAAATACTACAAAGACGTGGTCTGCCCTCTAACTACTCAATGTTATAAAGGCTATATACGCTACATTCATAAAATATGGTAATCGAGAAAATTTTCAATGAGGACTTGCAGAAGCAAACCAACCAACTGTAAACGATTAGAAGATATGTGTACAACACAGCTAGACAACATTGAGGTAAGAAACGCAGAACAACAGTTGATCGATAGTAGAGGTCCTATGCTGCAGCAAGAGTTAAGGAGATATTAAGTAAATAAAATAAATGTAGTATTAAAGTAAGTATCGAAGTATCAAATTTTTACATTATCTTTCTATTTTCGATTAAAACTTAAATAATTAATGCAATAGCATATTTTGTGAAGTAAAACTAAAAATACTTTTGTTTAATAGCTTATTTTATATGATAATTATTAGCAATTATTATGATAGATATATTAACTGTCTTGGTGGTCACGCGAATACCCCTTGGTGGATTTAAATTGCCTCAGGCAATTTTGAATTCATTTAAGATAAGCTCACAAATAATGTTTTCGATAAATACTATGAAATTATAGGACTTATCAATGCTTTATATATATAGAGATATAGTGCTTACTGCTTTCACTCCGGTAAATAAATACTAATTTAATGAAATATATTATCCAAATAAAGGAAAATTTTTAAAAATATTACAATTTATTCTCTTAATAGTAGCATTCCATTATCATTTTATTTTTAAATTAATTGGCATAAGAATTGCTTTTTAATTATTCAATTTAAATGAAGTTCCAATAATTGCACACATTCACGCTTTTAATTTATTCTCAATGTAAATACCATCCTTATCAATCAGTATCTCAGATTAATTAAAAATTGGTTTATTGAATTACCACTTTCACTCTTTCATTAATTTCATTTATATTTGATCAATCGTGCCATATTATTGAAGTTTGGAATGTGATTTAATGTGATCAAAAAATAAATGGTATTTCCGCTGAGTTAATAAAAAAAACATGAAGATTGATGAAAGTTGAGATTCTATTTTATTATATTCATATACAAACCTTTTATGCATCATTTAATTAAAAATTATATATATTTAAGTGAATAATTATTAAAATTTTTATTAATTTTCATTTATCCTATGCTTTTTTCATTATATGAGAACTGTCATCAAAAAAATACTTACTATTAAAACTGCCTCTTGATATAAGGCATTACTATATCATTATAACGTTAATCAACTAATTACGAGATAATTTCTAATATTTGAGGTTTAATATACACAGTTTGACTAAAAGTTTTATTTGCGCATATAATAAATCAATTATACTTATAATTGGGTATTGAGACTATATTCCTATGGAGTATACTATTAATGTAGAATTATTTCAGGGCACAATCGAACAACTTTCTTCCAAAATTCAAGCTGTAGTTTCTTATGCTGACATCCATTAAAGCATTATTTTGTTATGAGTTATTGGTTGAGTATTAAAGTTTCTGATATCTAATCGATACTTATTCTGTAAACTAAAATATGTATCTTAATAAGTTAAGAACTCACAAAAAAAAGAAATAAAAAAACAATATTAAATTCAATTAAGTTTTACTTTATTAATAAATAAATACAATTACAATGAATGTAAAATATTTAACAGGTTTTGTCAAATAACTATGACTAGAATAGTATTTAGTTTTTCAATAGCTTAAAAAACAGTTAAAACAGATTATATATATATATATATTGTATATATATTTATTGTATAAATATTAAAACCACTTTTCAATCTACGCACACGCTTATCGAAGTTTTATATTATTTAATATTATTATTAATTAATAATACACAGTAATTATAACTCAACTCATCACTCTCAACTCATTTCTATTCTTCATTCATATAAAGCTTTTATGCCATCGCTCCTGCCTTGATGTAAATATCAAAACAGTTTATTTAATTTATGAAAATTAATTTGAAAGGTACATAAATTATATAAATGTATATACATATATACTTCAAATAACTTCTAATATTAATTACATACTACATATGTAAATATAAATATTTTTCTTCTATATGGAGTAAAAAATATAAGAGTAAAGAGGATATTTTTCAATTGTTCCACAAATGTTACTTTTGTTCATCTTTCATTAAAAAGGTTTTTATATTGGTTTTTTCTTAAAATCTTAAGAATTAGTTTATACAAAATTATTAATTTCTTTCAATAAGCATATATAAAAACTGATATTTATTTAGTATATTTTTATGAAAATATTTTTAGAAATAGTTAAATATTATATGTTTATATTTTAAATATTTACTCATTTTATAGATAATAGAAGATAAAATTACTATTTATTTTATTTTTTTTTGATATAAAGCTTATACATTATATATATAAAAAATAATACATGTAATTAAGTAGACATTGTTAACTTTAAGTACATAATTTATTTAATTTTTTTTTTTTTGTTTTTTTGCTTTATTAAATAATTTTAGAAATTTTATTCTATAAGTTTTAAAAGCTTGAATCGTTGCAAATAATAACTGTTTAAAATAAAAGTTGTTCTAACATATTTTTTGCTTTTAAAACTTTTAGAACTGGCCTCAAGTAAGTTCAATTTTTTTTATAAAGTTATTTTGTATTGTAAATTCTTGATTTTCATTAATTTGATTTATATTTCAATTAGACTTTTAATAACAAAGTCAGTCAATATTAAGAACATGAACGCAATTACAATAAACAACATATTTCTACTTGTACATATAATTTAGAGATAGTTTAGAGTTAGCCTAACATATGAGGAGAATTTGATATATTTATATAGTTATTAACTTTTAGAGAATGTTAAATTCGAAAAAAAGATAAACTTTTACATAGAGAATAGTTAATTAAACAAGTCATATATAGTAAAATACTTAGATTAAGAATTAAGTGAGCAAAGAGTTTATGTAAATAGTTAACAAGATACAAACATTTTTGACACCTTCTAGTTCCACTTCTTAAACATTCGTTATCTGCTCCGCGGATTCATCCAGTGCACACATTGAATGTAAGTCAATGGCAGAACGTGTTTTTCTTGGTTTACTCGTCATTACGAATTGACTTGGACTTGGTCCAACAAATACAGAATTTTGTCGAGGTCTGCTATGCGGTGCTAAGCCTACGAAAAAATAGAGTATTTAATAATATTTAATAAAATTTTATAAAGTAATTATAGAAATATGTATAAAAATAATTAAAATAGTATTAAAAGTTAATGAATTGGCCGTACATTTCTTGAACATCTAAATGAGATCGCCTAATTGGCATCGGTATATAATCCTCCAGGTATCAGAAGAAGTCGCCACAATAAATGTCAAAATTATCAGAAATTTAATATATGAGAATGAAACTACCAACTGCTAAAATCGGTAACAGTATTTGAGTATCAGGTTATCAGATAATCAGGAAAAATTATATTGATGAAGTCGCTTACGTAGCTTTACAGTACAATTATCAAGGTACAAGAAAAAGAAGTCATCGTAATACAATATGAAAATGACATACGTTGAACGATATAACTTAAACGAAAAAGTACCAACAGAGAGAAACAGTATCAGAAGTATTAAAGAGCTATAGGGACGCTACAAAGTAGATTATTGTGCAAAGATATTTTTACAACATTTAATTAACGATATTTGATTAGATCGGAAATAGAGAAAGAAAACAAAACCATTCAGCTTGAGGGTAAGATATATAGGAAACAAGTTTTTTTTGGCATTTTCTATTTAAATTTGATACGAATCCGTTACGTTACCAATGTGAAAAAGACCTTTAGGAAACCATTTGGTTTCCATTAATAGCCTTATATAATTGTTAATAGGTCGAGTATATACAGAGTTGTCAACACTTGAAAATTCCATTTCGAAAGAAGTTGTGAAAGAATTATCTCTTTTTCTAGAGAGATTCGGAAAGTGACATAACAAGTACTCAATCATTTCTTATCTGGGCTGTTTCTACTGAAATCTAACCTACTATGTTCACGAGCGCGTCTATAAACAGTAACTAGTAAGAATGAACGAGAGCAGAGTGAGCAGATTCTCAAACTAAGGATAGTGTTTGTGATCTAATATCATAGGTTTTCCGTGAATATGGAAGAATTTCTGTGCTTTCATTATATATTTTCGACCCATGTTGCCTTTGTTTGTGGCATATTAATTTCATCTGTCAAACATTTCTGCTTTTACAGTTTTTTTTTGTCTAACAAAATTCTTAATTTAATTTTGTTAGACATTAATTAACTAATTAACTAAAATTAGTTAATTAACTAATTTAAAAAATTTATTTAAATGACCAATTATTTAATTTGTTTATTTTATTTCAATTAATTAAAAATTTTAAACTTTTAAACTTTTTATTATTTTGTAAGTCATTTTAATACTTTAAAGAAATTTTAATTTTGGATTTAAGATTTAATTTTGTTGAATTTTGTGATCCACCATAAACCATATACTTACTAAATTTGTTAATCATATAAAAACAGTTTTGTTTTCGTTTTAATTTGCAAAGTTCAAAAAAATGAAATTATTTAATTAAAATCACATAAAAACCAAATTTCACAACATGAAGCTATTATATTTTCACAGAGTTATAAAATATGTTATAAAAACGTTAAGGCACTGGCAGGGATAAAAATGAATTATGTTTGGGTCTCATAAGAACAATAAGGATTAAGTAAACAATTTTTGTTAAAGAAAGTAAAAATATCAAAAAAAAAATGCTTTTAAATTATATTTTGAATGCCATTTCATTAACACTAAATGTAAACAATTTTAATTCCACAGCGCCACATGTGCTTGCATTTTTGCAAATTATTAACCATGGAACTGAGGTCCGTGAGAAAGGCGAACGCAGGACTCTACTAGTTGCAGTCGCAGTCGCTGTTTTCACATTAGCATTAAAGTTCAAAGCGTGTAAGTCAACATCATTTTCCTGTGCTAATATCAAAATAATTCTAAATATGCAAACTCATTAGGAAAGAATACGGCAAAAGAACTTTGTGGGTCTGCGAAGGGATGTAGCAGTACAAATGAAAAGTTTAGTGTAATTAGAATTTTATGTTCTAGAAGCTAAAGACAAGCCAGCTGTGCGTGAGTTGTAGTGTTGCTGCCATAGGAATAAAGCAAATGGTAATGACGAAGAATAAAATTAAAATATTATATTTCATTTTTATTATATCTTTCCTGTTGTTAATTGAAGGCTGCAGTAAAACCTGCAAACAAGAGCTAAAAATTGCATTGGTTAAACTTGAAGCGATGAATAGGATTACTAATGCAAAAGTTTTAATTAAATATTTTCATTGTAAGGTAGAAATAAATAAAAACACTTTATTTGAAAGTGTATATTTTACTAATCACAGAATTCAAAAGAAAAAATAAAATTGACGTGTGAGTAATATTTGCTCCTCGGAAACTATATTCTTACGGAAAAGGTAATAAAACTGTGTAAAATAAGCTCTATACTACTTTCTATTGGCGCAATAAGGCTTGGAGACCTACTCTAAAGCCAGATGGGGGCTTAAAAGTCCCGACGGTCGCAGAGCCACATCCCCTAAGAATAATAATAATAATAATAATGAGTAATATTTCTTCTCTTTTGTATAGATAAAATTTTTTCTTCAGGTTAGTGACGTAGGCTCTAACAGATAGTCAAAAAAACTGGAAAAGATATGTTAAATCTTTTCCGAAAAAGTAGGAAAATCATATTCTCACATAAGCAAAATTAAAACAATATTGACCTTTTTTTCCACAGAACATATATAAATTATAGTGGTTTCATCGTTGAAAATCTGCGGTGAAAATAGTATATTACCCAGGACTTTCACAAAGATTATGAACTAAAATGAAATAGATTCGTTGAGAAAATGGAAAACTAGATAGTTGGTTTATGTTGCACAATAATACACAATCGCATAGGGCAATTATAGTACTTGCATTTTTAAAACAAGAGACGTCATTCTAATTGATCAGATACTATTGCTATATCCGAAAATGAAATTGCCGTTTCAATGTTATACCGGTTATCTGAAAAGTTTCGACCGACTTACTAAAACTAATGAGTACAAAAACTGCTTAAAAATATTGGTTAAAAATTTTGGCGCCTATGTTTACTTTTTTTGAGATAATTTTAAATAAACAAAAATAGAAAGTCACAGTAATGAAATAAAAGGACAGACTACATATTTGTGGTGTTATATTCTTTTATTCTTTTTATTATAATTAGACTTTAGTTTCAAAAAATAATATTAAAATAATTGTTGTAATTAAAATTAAAACTAAAATAAATTTGGAATTAAAATTAAAATTAAATTATAATTAAAATTAAAAGTGAACTAAAAATTAAAATTAAAATTACATTAATACACAATTAAAAATAAGCTAGAAAGTAATTAATAATAAAATTAAATTATAATTAAAATTAAACTAAAAATTAAAATTAAAATTAAAATTGAAATTATAATTATAATTACATTAAAAAAATATGTAATTAAAATTAAAATTAAAACTAAAATTATATTAAGATACAATTAAAAGTATGCTAGAAAGTTGTACAGAATATATTTGAATGTAAATGATTTAGAATATGTTTCTCTTAAAGAATGCTTTAATTTCAAATATATGTGTATATTTATTCGTATATAAAGAAACTATTTTTAATATCACATTTATTTTAAGGAAAATAATTGATTAGATACTAATACTGTGTGTATATTTATTCGTATATAAAGAAACTATGTTTAATATCAAATTTATTTTAACGAAAATAATTGATTAGATACTAATACTGAATCTAGAAACTAATCTGAATACCAATTTACTTGTGTAACTATATCGAAAAAGATAAAATAATATTTTTCTCAGATTGACTTAACAGCAAGAAAATGTTTTTAAATGATTTTGTATGCATTAAAAAGCGATATTTCTCCAAATATTTTTTTTCGTGAATTTATTGCTCAGTGCCCTCCAAAAAAGACAGTGCAGAATAAGTCCGAACTTTACATATTGAACCGAAGTATTATGGCAACGACATGAAATTTTAATTTTACTATTTAAATGTGCATTTTTTTCATTAATTAAAAAACATTTATTATTCGAAGTTGCGTGCAGAAAACAGATATATTATGTCCTTCTGTCTGTTTGGCACAATAAGTGCATGTATTCAAATTAATTACAATCTAATGTGACAGCCAACTGGCATAAAACAAAATGCATACAAATATAAATGATTCTACAAAATATCATAAATAATACTTCATTATGTGTTTACATATTATTCAATTTCAATTTCAATTTTATTAAAAAATATTAGTAGGAATGAAATAAATTTTAAAATTTATATACAAATGACCAAAATACTAATAATCTTCCATCTGTCTTAATCAAGAAAAATTGCATTTAAACTTTTTTCAAATATTGACAGCAAATTTTTATAAATAAATTTTTTTGTTTATTAATTAAAACATATATATTAAATTACAATTAAATTACATATTATCAATGTATCTTCACTACTCTGCAAAGCATTTTCACTTGCATTCAGAACAAAGTCATTGACATATCACTTAACATGTTTCGCATAGCTTAAGCAGTGATGATGTATTACATGACCAAATCATTTGAACGTGATGAAGTGGTCCAGCACTTGAGGATTTTCTGTGTTTTGACAAACGCTTCCAAATGTAATGAAAAATAATGTTTTAGATTAATGTGTACTCTCAATATATTCTTGGAAGTAAAATGACTAAAAGTGCAGTAAAATAAATTTTTATAATACATAAAACTAACGTTTATTGTCTAACGTTAAACGATGTCTTTTAAAACCAATGCATTTGTTGCGAATGATGTATTTACTAAAAGAATACCATATACTTGCGCCAAGTTAACTTGAATAGGAAGTTTATTTAGTGATACATCATTAAGTTTAACGGTAAACTTATTAAACGATTTATTTTATCACATAAGTTCAATTGAGTTGAGCATTAAATTCAATATCAAAAAAGGTTGAGGATATATAATTATTATTGACTAGATGACAATGATAATAGATAACTAAATAGAATTAAAATTCCTCTTAAGTCTAAAAAATATTCAAGTTAGGTTTTTACGTATTTTGAAGAAATAAGTTTATATCCCACCCATTTAGTGATGTGTAATTAGTACTGAGTATTGAAATCAGTTGTATAAAGTAGTTAAGATGCTTACTGAAAAGGTTGAAAAAGGATGTAGCAACAACTTATATTAAAAAAGTTGATCATTTTTTATTTATAAAACTATTGAAATTATACAATAATGAAGATGAAGTTATAATGAATTTATATATTTATTGATTATTTTCAGTTACGAGTTTGTATTATCTTATTTATTTAATAAAAAAAAATGAATTTTCTTATCTTTGTTAGAGAACAGCGTGAATACATTTATTAATCATACATAATTCAGATTTTCTGATATAACTTTTTTCAATTTTTACCAATACATAATTTTTGTCTAATTATGTTGAGGCTACTTGAGTCAGTGCACTTTTACTCTCTATTAACTGCGAGGTTTGTTTATAACCCCTCTCCACGCCTTGACTGGATTGTTGTTTATCACTTCATCAGACTAAGCAATAATTGACTTCAGACCTGCATATCCCGAGAAGCCTGTAACCATTCTGAGATTTGATAACGCGATGTTGGAAAGCGTGTCAGTTTTTGTAAATAATTTCAGGTCTCTATATTGTATGTATTTTTTGATCGGATCAATCTTGAGCTCCCTGAGGATGTCATTCATCCTCGATTCAAACGAGATACTTTTTTAGTGCAATTTTATTTTCAGTTGGTCAATCTAGGGCAAAATGTATAACGCTCGAAAGTAGTTTATAACACTCTAGATATTTTGCCAGAGTCGCAAGATTACGTTAAAAATAACAGCTGTTTTTTACGATTTGACAGATACATTGTGACCGAAAGGTTTTCGGAAATTCTCATTTAAAATTCGCGCGCTGTATATTTTTCGATATTTTAAGTTTATGTAGTTTGGCAGCACTGTCCTTAATTACTATGCCAAAAATGAGCGCGATCTGTCAGACAGTTCGTTTACGGCAGCTGTTGAAACCAGTTCACCTCAGTAGTGCGTTGCGAAAAAAACAATGGAAAAAAATATTGAACAAAGAGTTTGCATCAAATTTTGTTTTTCGAACGAAATTTCGTGTGCAGAATCGTTGCGAATGCTACAAAAGGCTTATGGGGAATCAGTTTTATCGAAAACTCAAGTTTATGAGTGGTACAAAGCCTTTCAGGACTGTCGTACGACCGTCGAAGACATGCCGCGTTCTGGACGACCTTCGACCTCTACCACCGACGAAAACATTGAAAAGGCAAAGGAAATCGTGTTCAAAAATCCTCATGTGAGTGTTAGAGAGATAGCACGAGAGCTAGGCATCGGTCGTGAGATGGCTCGTTTGATTTTGGTGGACAATTTGTGTATGCGACGTGTCAACGCCCGGCTTGTTCCGATTCACCTCAATTTGTTCAACATTATCAACGATTTTAAGGCCAAACATTCAATAAATACCATCGAACAGCCACCGTATTCACCTGATCTTGCACCGTGTGACTTTTTCCTGTTTCCCAACCTCAAATTACCACTCAGAGGAACGCGTTTTGAATCCATAGAAGACGTAAAACAGAATTCGCAGAGGGAACTCAAAGCCATACCGGAAAGCGCCTATAAAAAATGTTTTGATGATTGGAAGAAACGTTGGCATTGTGTATCGCTTCTAATGGAGCATATTTTGAAGGAGATAAAATAAATATTGATGAAGGTTAAGAATTTTGCGTTTTATTTAAAATTTCCCGAAAACTTTTCGGTCACAATGTAAACTGTGTTTTGATTCGATATATGTATTTGTAAAAAGTGTATATGTCTACCAACATTACTATAAAAATGTTAGATTGCTTTAATAATCTTCGATTGGCCAACAGAATTTAACAGATCGAGAGTAAATCTAGATTGAATCCAGATTTACCAATCGAAAACGCCAAAACGCCAAGAAGTGAGTATTAAAATTTTATCTAATTAATTTTATATTATATTAACTTATTTTATTTGAACTGTTTGTTTACTTATTCCACATTTTTAACTTTAATATTAATAAATCTATACATTACATTTTTATCTGTAATAGAATCTAAAGTAAGCTTTCCCGCAACAATTTTTGTAAAATTTATTTAGTACTCATTTCATTAAGACTTAAAAAGATTTGCATATATTTTATAAAAAAATTCCTATTTAAATTTAAATACTTAGCTTAGAATTCAAAAGAAACGATTACCTTTATAGTATTTTTAGATTAAATTTTTCATTTTTTCCATTTAAATACGTTAATAGTGCATAAAATAAACGGAATGCATTTGCATACGTCTTCTCCTATACAAACCCGGAGCGTAACGCTAAACACCCAAGCAAACGAGCTTAAAATATTGAAACGTGTTTGCTGCCACAGCTGCGAATTGCAGAAGTACCTATGTGCCACATACGACATCACGAAAACCCAGACCATTTTTTGTATGCTGCATTTATAGTAAATGTACCTTAATTTATTACCACGCATTTGCGGTATGCAACCTTTCAACCACGCCAGTCACCACGAACTGGCAAAAATGCGCTTTTCACGCTCCAATGTTGACGTTTATAAACTGTTTTGCTAGTTACTGATAAACGAATTTGGTAGGGGGAAACGTGCGAAGCATACACAAGCGTCAAGTTGTCATTGGAACAAAAGAAGTTTCCGGAGGACAACCATTTTGCTTTGAAGTGGGTAATGCTCTCGGAGCCATGTTTGGATTCTGATCACTTTTTCTTTTTTTTTTGAATAAATTTTTGTATTTTTCTATTTACTTACCTTTCGAACGGGGATTATACATTGCAAAGTGACAAGTTGGTATGTTGATATTATTTATCATACCCATTGACATGCGTGAAACTGAGGACCTCTGTAAAATTAAATTTAATAGAATTATAATTAAACAAACGAAACTATTATATATATAAATATGTAAAAAACAGAAAATATTATTAAATTTTATATAAATATATTATTTTTTTATTTAAAGACAATTACCTGATGAGACTGCATTGAATCAATTTCAATCATTGGACAGGAAGACCGTGGTTGTTGTTGGAATTTAGGTTGATATGGTTCCAACATACGAATTTTACCCCAACGGTTAAAGAATAAGACTATAGCGCCAGCCCATAGCATTAAAACCAATCCAACAATTAATACTTCCTCGGTACGAACAATTATTTTTGGACCTATAAATAGTATAAATAAAATATAAAAGTATGGAATTTGTAATTATTAAATAACTATTAAATAATATAACAATATAAATGAAAAAGAAACTATAATAAAACTCCTAATAAAACTCCTGCGAAACTCCTAGAATGATAAAATGTTTAAGAATCATTTGTTTTATAATAACTGTCAGAATCGAAAATGGATGAATACACTCAGAAAAATAATTTGGTTGATTTAACCAGATTTTAATTTAATCTCAGGTGAATATATTCTTATTCGACGCACCATGTTGGTTCAACCACACCACATGTTGATTTTCAAATAAAAATGACTAGTCTCGCTAATATTATATGAATATAAGTAACTGAATATATTCTCTCATTATCCTAGGTTCGAATGGTTGCTGATTTCCAAATTAAGTAATCGACACTCTGAGGTCAAACCGGTGCAATGTATATCCCAGATCTCTAAAAATATAATGCCTTGTTGAATCATAATAAGAAATTCTATCAGGCTTATTAAACATTGGCAATATATGTAATATCTTCTAATTCATAATAACCTAATGTTGTCATTCTTTATTTGCTGTGCACTAAACAATAACAGAGAAGATGTTTGATAGTTTCATCTTTCTGCTTTATCACAGTAGCTTCTGCAGAATTCATATGATACAGTAGCCATACTTGAGGAGTGTCGTTCTATTAATGTCCGGTGATAAAACCGAATTCAGATTTCATTTCTTTTTAAATATAATATAAATGCACTAAGAAATATATATTACCGTAAATTTTATAATATTATGTATAAATAGTAATACAAAATAAATAAAATAATATTATGTATGACGCTTTCAGGAAACAAAGGAGCGAAATATTTAGACCTCTGAAACAAATGCATAAACTTATGGACGAGCACATTAGAGCAAAGAAAAGGTCGCAAAACTTAACCACCTGTAGAATAGCTAGAATCAGACACATATACGAGAATAGGTATAACAAGGATGTTATATCGTCTAGTCGAAGGAACTGTAGAACATTAATTGGTGTAGGAAATGTAACGAGCCAGATGTAAAGGAAACTATGGAGCATCTGCTGTGTAACTGCCCGGTACTCTCGAGAACTCCACAAAAATACTTGGGGGCTGTCAGTTTTTCCGGCCTGGAACACATGCCTGCTGAGGTTTCTGTTGAAATCTTAATAAAATTCGCTAATAAAACGCGCATCTTAAATGATACACACAATTGCTATAAATAAGACTCTGATCTGTTATCGCAAAGATCTACGCGTGGCCTTTTTTGGTCTGCCAGCATAACCTAATATCTAATGTATGACGGTACACAACTGTAAATACTGTTGTTATCCTTTGAGTACTTTTTTCAATGAAACATATCTTACTCAAACATTTAACTGATGAACCTTTTCTACTTACACATCTATTTACTGTTATGAATAGCTAAATAATTTATCAATTCAATACATTATCATTTTAACATTTGAAAAGGCTTAACCTTAGTTTGCTTTTGTTATTTTATCCTCAGAAACTTTTATGTTTTTTGATCCTTTTTAATAATTTTTTGTTCATCACAGAAAATCGCAAAACTTATAATGCAGAAATTGGTTTTTACTTCTTTAAGAATTGAAGAAAAATATAATTCAATTTATACTCTTAAAAATTTTTTTCTGCAATAAAAAATAACATACATGGAAAGGATCCACAAAAAAAAAATGTAAAAGCTAAAAATCACTACGCATCACATATGCTTATTCTCTACTTAACATTGGAGCTACTGAAGGATACAATAACAACTTTTATTTGAGTAAATGTTCTTTGCGAAATTGGCAAATATACACAATTTAATATACAAACAAACCGAAGTGCTTGTGTACTTCTGCCTGTGTGCTTGTGTGTATGTGTGCCGGAGTGTTTATATTTATTTAGGATTATTGTGCTTATTATGTTGAAGCAAAAAATGGCGAATTTGAATTTTATTTATACGAGCATAAGTATTTCCCGCAATTCCTTTGCTGAACCGCAGCTAACGTTGAATGGTAATTTGTTGTTATTGTTCCTGTTGCTATTGCTGTTGCTGTTGCTGAGCTCCTTGTTACGTTTACATTTCGTTACACGTTTATTTTTTGCGAAAGAAATCACGTTGGATAAATTTTTTCTGGTTTCTTCGGTATTAAAAAATATTAAAATAATCAAAAAGCATACAAATAACGGAAAAAATCATGTGTGTTTTACATGGCAAAGATTTTAATAATGCAGCTGCAGACAAATTGAAATCGAAATTGAATTAAAAAACGAATAAACAATGACATTGTCGTTGCCGCTGCCGTTGCCGTTGGGATAAGTTGTGATTATTTGAATTAAATCAGAATTTAATTGAATCATCGAACTGAAAATAATCGTCAGGCATTCATTAATATAAAAATAATAAAGTTAATTATAACATTTATTTTTTATCTTCATTTAATCCTGTTTACTGGATAGTCATATGAACAGATAATTTATACTTCAGTAGAACAAAAGCTGTTAATTTTTTTTTTGTAATTTACAGTATTGAAATAATTATACCAAAAACTATAGAGTTACATATTTTTCAACTCAAAAAGGTAAATATAAACGAAATAATGTATTCAATTTAATAATTTAAAAATTTATGTCAGTTAAATAATATGTTTTAATGTTAATTTTTTTTTGCCGAGATTGACGCGTCTTTATGACGAAATGAAACTTTTTAAAAGTTAGACGGATTCGAATAGCAAAGAAGAGACAAGAACAAATTATTTTAATTTATTGAAATTTGGTTAACCATACAACGTTTTTCTAAGAAAAACATATTCCAAAATCATGTGGTTATCACTTGTATCTAAATCTATTCTAATCAATCCCATTTCTATTACACAAATTGTATTCTCAAATTAGGCCCGAGTTCTATACATATTTAAATTAAAAAATGTTAAAAAATATGTATATCTAATACGGCGTTTACATTGGCCGAAAATGGCTCATTTTGAATGACTCATTTGAAAGTGTTTACATTCGTTGTATTTCATTCGTTCTCATGGTAACAATTCAAACTGAAATAAAACTACTAAACATTTGTTATCTTTTTTTGTAAATATGTCAAAACAGCTTTTACAAACTGTCAAAATGCCATGAAGAGCTTTCATTTAGGGTATGTTCAATAGATTCCTTTGCATTTGGAACATATGTGGAATGCATTCGAACGTCATTCATACAGAATGTGAGAAAATTGCTCATTTTGTGCTTGAAATTTTATATGCAAGAATGAGCCATTCGATACTCATTTTCGATTTTTGACCAAAATGAGCCATTTTCGGCCAATGTAAACGCCGTATAAGTCTAAACGATTCGAAAAAAATTAAATACATTCTGTTATTTAGTTTTTGTGATATCTATCGATATAGTGGTTAGATTTTCTCCAATTCTACCAATGATCTGAGTCATAATCTTGAAAAATAATTGTACCTAATTTCATTCGAATAGCTCAACAAATAAGAGAGTTGCTAGGAATGAAACAGATAGACGGGACTAAATGTGTTAAACTCGTTGAGCGGATCAAATATATATATATATATATACTCCATAAGGTCTACTCCATAAGGTAAGACATTCTTCAATGTCTTACAAAAATCTCTACAAAACCTAATATTTATATGTACAACTTTTTGCATTGTTTTGTGTAATGTTTATAAAAACAAATAGCATTTTGTACTATCGTGATAAATAAATTTTTCAGTTATAGATACCAATAATAAAATAATAATTAAACACAAAAAATATCAATTTCAACAAACTCTTAATAACTACAATAAGTTCTCTTGTATGACTAAAATGCAATAAAAGCATAAACTTATCTTTATTATCACAACTGTATTAATACTTCTATCTGGCATTTAATATACTAAATGGAATCTGAAGTAATATTAAAAATCTGAAGTAGTCTAATAATCTTAATTTGTCTAAGCTAATTTTGTGAAATTTTAGATAACACAATAAATCTTATGGATCTCTATCAACTATTCGTCCTGCAAATAATACTTACAACAACAACATAAAACCTTTAATGGTACTCTAAACTGCCGGAACATGCATTACCGAGATTTACAAGTAGTTTAGTTAAGTGAAATTACATTAAAACAACATATAAAATAGTAGTTTAAATGCTTTTATATATAAGACATGATATGAAAATTTTAATAGTTAATAATTTTAATACATAATTTTTCTACACACAACATTCAAGTGCACTAATACTTGTACTTCTGTATCCAATACTAAATTATTTGCATTGAATATGTGCTGACGTTTATATGAAGTAATAGATATGTAATAACCACGCTTGATATAATGATGGTCTATCTTAGCTCATGTTTGTCGTTTTAGTAGAACATATAAAGCGCATATATCATTTTGTAGGACATTATCTAAACAACTTCAAATCTGTATAAAATAGATGGATATTTTGCTGTCAAGACAAAAACAAACTCAAACATAAGTTTTGATGGGTGACAAGGAAGAAATAGAAGCATTTTCTCTTTGGTCCACTTTTTAAAACTTTTTTTAATTAATTTTTAGTTGCCAATAAAGTAGTTGTGCACGACCTCCATGATCTGTATCAATTATATAATATTATATTTATTATAATCTTTGTCAGGTAATACGGTATTGATTTATAAAAAATTTGTAGATTTATGGTATGGTACTTAAAGAAATAATACTCAACTTAAAAATTTATAACTATCAAGAATTTAACTTATCTTTATTACGGAAGCCTTGATAAATAATATTTTATCACATCAAATGAGGAATCGCAACTTAGCAGCCTATGATGAAAGCTACTATTAACAAGCAACAAATACCATGGATATATAGTACAACAGTAAACTGGGTAGAGTTTAAGCAAATTTAACAATTTAAAAATGTAATATCAGGTTTTTGTATTTCTGGAAGTAATATCAATCAACTAAGTATAGGGTTCACTTATACACTTTCTCTTACTTATTTTTGGAAATATGGTAACTTGTTATTATGGGAAGAGTCCAAGAGTTATTGGATTCATTTAAATTTAGTATATATCTTAAATAATACAAACCTTGTGGCACATTTGTAATATTTAACGTTGTTGTGCTGGTGACATCTTCTTGGCTGTTGAGATAATCTGAATTTACGGGTGATGCAGAGGCAGTCTCTTCGATTTCTACGATAAAATTTGTGCCAGTCCAACCGGAGCCCCATTCTATATGTCAACAAAAGCAACACATACAAGAAGTTAAGAACTGAAAATATGCAAATAAATTATATTGACTGACCTTCCGAAACTCCTGGCGTTGATTCCACTTGTGCTAATAGTTGCTCCAGTTTGACTACTGCTAAAATGAAAGTAAAATAAAAATGTAAACATTTAAAAAACTTTAACTTGAACGATTTTGTATCTAAATCTAAAAAACTATTTATGTTATTTTGTTTGCTCTTGGCAACGAATGAAATATTGCCTAAACGCAACAAATAACTTGTCGAAATCACTAGGCATAGACATAAGCATATAAAATAAAAAATAAAAAAAATTTTAGAAGAAGGTTTTTCAAAGTTGCTTGGAAAACTGTGTTTGTTGCACTTGGCCATTTGCCAATTTTTAAAATTCAATTTATACTACCTAAAAATATGTCGATGGTCAAATAAAACGTGTACCAACAACTACCCATAGTTCTGTGTAAGCAAAATACCAAATGACTTAAACAATACAGAAAGAATAAACACCATATATAGAGACATATTTTTTTTAAATTGCTCTCAGTTGTAGCAACAATTGCTGCTGTATTGCGAATTGTATCTTTTGTAGTTTGCTTGTTGCATGTCAATTTACAACATTTGCCAGATGTTACAATAAGGAAGCTATGATACTGACATTGTGGTTTTTTCTTTGCACTATCATAGTTTCATATTGGAATTCTCTGCATGAAAATTGCAATACCGCAGTTGCCACGATGCAGTTGCTGAGTTATAAAAAATATTTAAAATATACATGCTGTTTATATGCTCTATCCACTCTATCCCGCAGTAAAATATTTCTTTAATATTAAAATTGTTGAAATGTAAGAAAAAAAATTGCAACTAAATGCAATATATAACTTACTTTCGGGATGATGAAGCAATTTCATAGTAAGAAAGTTTTATTTCTCTTTTCACTTTACATCGAGTTAATTCTTTATGAATTATTTATCTTTGAGATAACTTTTATGCATCAAATAGAAGAGACTGCAAATATAGTTCATAATACGACAGAAAATTTTCTTAGACGTAATGCATTATGCGCACTTAAGATGCCAGCGAAGTGCTAACTTTGTTTAATTTTACTCTGGAATCATGAACTTATTTAGGTCCTTTCACAAAATGAAAAAGAAAAAGTTAAACTTTTGAAAAAGTTATTCTTGTAATATATTAAGAAAGCAGAAAATACAGGAAAAATATTTCCAAGGAGTTCATACAACAAATTTTTTTTCATATTTAATTGAAACAACTAATAGATAATAGACTATTATATAATCCAAATAACTCAACATTGATTTATAGCTAACTTAAATGTTTGTCATTAAACATAACACTTGAACAAAGACATTGATTTAAGATCCAAATAATAAAAAAAAATAACCAACCAAATCATGACTCTAGAACCAATTATAAAGCCATATTTCAATGAATAAGAGAATAATATACAATCTACACAAACTTGGAATAGAATATCTCAGTCAAAAAATGTTCAAGATCTATTTAAAAACTAATCTGTTAAGGAATTACTTAGAAGTTCATATAGATATATCAGTGGAAGGCTATAATGCTACAACTAGAACAGAATTATAAAGTATTCCAAAAAAGCATGCGAAGACAACGTCCTTACTTCAAATATCTGCCACTGAAGTTAAGCCCCGTGTCTCAAACACACACTGAGAAAGTTACTCAGTGATAACTTTCAAAGACGCTAAAGAATATGAGCCACTTATTGTATATCGAACGTGTAGAGAATTTTCCTAATGAGAACACTATCAGTTTCAGTGTTAGTTGTCCAAATTATTCTCTTCTGGTATCGTAACAAAAATAAACAGCGGAAGTTGTAATCTATTTTTGAGGTTTTTTCTGCCTCCTGCATTTTGCAAATATTCCAGAAGGAGATATGAGATATTATTTGTCATCAGTAATCTTTTAAATGGTGAGCACATAGACAACTGTGCATACTGTACCCAGTCAATAATTATCCAATAAAAATACACAAACTTCACAATTAGACTGCTTTTCTTTTCAAATAAAATTATTAGCAAAAACAAGTATCTAAAATATGTAACGCTTATAAAACTTGCTATTCCCTAGATCTTTTACGCTAGTGAAATTGCCCATACTACTCTCAGAAATGGGTTTGTAAATTTGTTTTTTAAAATTTAATTACATAAATGATTTACTCTTTAGTCGACTAACAGTCTAACAGTCGATAAAATTACTTTTGAGGATTAATAACAGTTTAGACTCTAGAGTGAAAGAACTCAAGATCAAGCACAAAACAATTATACTGTATTTTTATAAAGATGGTAACGATAAATGTTTGGGTGATATAAAAAAAAATTTAAGAAGAAAGTTTTAGAAATATATAAACAATCTTGAACTAAATTTCAATGACTTTCAAATAATTTTTTTATAATAAAATATATATTTTTGTTACAAATTTTGTATGATTCATGGTATTTAAATGCAAAAATCATTTACTGATAAATATATAAAGTTTCTGTATTAGTCTTGATCATTATTAAATGAAACTTTTTTACTTGCAATATCACACACAGACAATGGTCATCTTTTAATAATAACTCTGTCAGTAATAAGAGAATATGTGTCACTTTATAACACCATTTAACTGTTTTATTTAATAAATATCTTAACTATATTGTAATATATATTTCTATTTACGAAACTTGTGGTATAACAAATAAAATGAATCACACAACCTTAAGTGAATATAAAGATACTTATATAAATCCAATTAAATAACACAAAACCTACTGATTTAAGTGACAAATATATATTTTAGATAAAAAAAGAAACAAAAAAATGAAATTGCTTAAAATATGATTATTCTTAGTGAACTCGAAACATCATAATATACATAAAACTTAAATAAACTAACAAACTTGGCATTGCAATAAAACCAAATAAAATAGCATGCCATAGGTTTCGGATGTTCTTAAAATAAACTAAGAACATCATATACGTATATAAGTATATATATGAAAATATGTACATAAAATAGGAAACAATAAAAAAAACGGAAGAAAAAGAAAAACTTTTGTTTACTTTCAGAAGAGTAATTTCCTGGAAGTTACTAAGAAATACAAAGAAAACAGTTTTCAACTACTTCAAAATATTATGAAGCACAAAGAAAATCTTGAGTGTTCAGTCAAAAAAAAAACAAAATTGTTTAACAAAAGGTAAAACAAATATAAACAAAAATATGAAAACAAAATCTACTAAAATTCTAAAATCAAATATGCATACGACTCATAATTCAATTGCATAAAATTGAAATGCTAGATACATAACCAACAGATTATGCAAAATATAAACTAACGAGCATTTAATAGCTGCCGTCGTAACTTCGCTGATGTGAGATACTTTTCAGTTTGTAAAACTAACTGCTTACACATGTAGTAATAAGTATATTGATGTTCTCTAATATCCGTCTTAATGGTAGTTTTCTATTTGCGTGTACACATCAACAACTTTTCGACCTGTAATCCTTAAATATTATTTATCAATCTTTGCTGCTTTGTTAAAATAACTAATCCTTTCAACCAGAAATCATATTTAATAGTTTACTTTACAAGTTGTTTTTGTATATTAAATATATTTTAACGTCATTATTAGTATCATTATGAAGGTTGCATGCACACTATCTTCTTCATGTATCTTAACTAAATAAGTGTACGTGTTTGGAAGAAAATCCGCTTCATAATAATGTTTGGTTATAAATAAATAATTAAATATGTGTTTCTGGAGAGGTTCTGGAGAGAGAGAGAGTGAGAGAGAGACAGAGAGGCCGTCCCATTAGATCGAAAAGAAATTAAAGGTTTGTATATAGAAGCACTGGGACACCCAAGATGCTGATGAAAATCAAGAAGAAACATTATGATAGTTACGATAGTTGCAATAATAATGTCTCCATCATACATATTAATCTGAGCTCAGAGGTAGTTTAATAACATATTCTGGTTCAGTTAAGATAACTGAAAAATATATCGATAAAGTTTGGTTGTAATAGCATTGGTCCACCAAAGAAGTTGCAATAGTAATATCTTCTTCATACATATTAGTTTGATCCCGGAAATAGTCAATCTTAACTAAGATTATGTTATTAAAATATTGATTGAAAAACGTATCAAGAAACTTTGGTTATAGAAGCACTAGTCCACCAAGGATTATAATACAAAGAATAAAGAAAATAAAGAAAATCATAAAAACCAAATTTCGATAAATTAATGTAATTTTTATAATTGTTGTTTCTTCATTACAGTTTGAACCCTTTTAGTTTTCTTTTCATCATTCCACAAAAAAATCTACCCTAAATCTAATATAATTAAAAAATTATATTTTAATTTTTTATGTCCCTGATTTTTCATTTTAGCATTAAAAATAAACTAAAAAGATTAAAATATTTATTTACTTATAATTCTAAACCTAATGAGGCTACAGGAGTTTAAATTAATGGCTTTTCAACCATAAATTTTACCAAAACGGTTTATTTTATTTAATTTTATACATTCTACACGCATAATTTGCAGTTTATACAATAAAACCAAATCAATAATAATAAATTAATAATATAATTATATAGCAGACATCAATATATGCAAATGTAAACTGATATATCTATACAGTACTAATATTTGTACTTATAATAACAGAGCATGTAAAGGTTACAAACGAAAATATTGACTTAGAATCAAACACCCAGCAGAAAATAAAATAATAATTTGCACTACTACAATTTTTCATTAAAAATAATAGAACTCTGTTTAGAAATAGAGTACCAGCTCCCAACGGAGCGGAGCACTGCGACCATAGCTGATTTTTTATGCTGCAACAGACCCTAACCGAACAGAAGACATTCCGCCTTTCGAATGAAAGCCAGAATGTCAGCCATTAAGGACTTCCTAATGCGGGTAGGGAGAGTAGTTCTCGACCCAGTGACCTTTTTAAAAGTTTTAATAAAATTGAAATTTATTTTAAATTTTTTAAAAGAGACCAGTATAAAGTATAACTTCGCAGAGACGGTCAAGCACTAACATATATCAAGTACTAAAGCGATCAGTAAGTTTAGTTTAATTTGGATGAATGTAAACCACACATATATCTATAGGTTTCTAGCTACATTGGAGAAGCAAAATCTAAGCGTAGGCATTATATAGTATGTAATATGTACACTTTCAGATTGAAAATTTAACATGAACCACTATTCCTTGCATTTTTTTAAATATTAAAGCGTATTTTTAGACCGAACATAGTGGCATTTAAACACAGATCTTGCGATTTACCATGCTATCCAATCCATCAAAACAATAATTGACCAAATAAATGAAAATATAACATACGTTTAAAACTTCTTGCAGAATTTACTGTAACATATTATTTTGTCTATTATATGTAGACAAAAAAAAATTTAATCAAATTTAAGCAACTTATTAACAATTTTTATTAAGTAGAATATAAACTAGACATAACAAATAATTTAATATTATTCTATTGTGAATGAGCAACGAAATCCAATGTCAATATGCTCAAATACATACTTCAGTTTAAATCCCATAAATCTTGAACTCATTTCTTTGTATTTTCTGTACAAAACGTAGTAATCATCTTCTTGTAACACAATTTTACAAATTTGAGGTTGTCCCGAAACAATGAGTTTAACAACGTCAATCACTTCTTCGTTAAGTTCATTCCATCTGTCCGTATGCGTTTCAGTTTTGCCAAATGCCAATAACATTGCCATCAAATTTTCATTCAAAATATTATCATATGATCTGATATCAGTTTTTGTTCCAAATGATGTGTTTATTTTAAAGTGGTATTGATGTTCCCCTATATAATTTATAACTGATTTAGGACAATGATCAAA